GTCGCAACAACACGAGGAACTGTATTAAAGTGTCGCTACAATCTGAGGAACTGTAATAAAGTGTCGCCACAACACGAGGAACTGTATTAAAGTGTCTCTATAACACGAGGAACTGTATTAAAGTGTCGCTACAGCACGAGGAACTGTATTAAAGTGTCGCTACAATCTGAGGAACTGTATTAAAGTGTTGCCACAACACGAGGAACTGTATTAAAGTGTCGCTACAACACAATGAACTGTATTAAAGAGTCGCTACAACACGAGAAACTGTATTAAAGTGTCGCTACAAAACGAGGAAGTGTATTAAAGTGTCGCTACAACACGAGGAACTGTAATAAAGTGTCACTACAACACGAGGAACTGTATTAACGTGTCGCTACAACACGAGGAACTGTATTAAAGTGTCGCTACAACACGAGGAACTGTAGTAAAGTGTCACTACAACACAAGGAACTGTATTAAAGTGTCGCTACAACACGAGGAACTGTATTAAAGTGTCGCCACAACATTAGTAACTTTATTAAAGTGTCGCTACAACACAAGGAACTGTATTAAAGTGTCGCTACAACACGAGGAACTGTATTAAAGTGTCGCTACAACACGAGGAACTGTATTAAAGTGTCGCTACAACACGAGGAATTGTATTAAAGTGTCGCTACAACACGAGGAACTGTATTAAAGGGTCGTGCATTAGGAAGGTTGAGAACCACCGGTCTAGCCGCTACACGAGGGTGGCTGCCTAGTTAGGGAATATGCCTGTAGAAACAGTAACTGGCAGGGGAGTATACAGTGTGGGTGTTGAAATGCACGTTGGGCGGGAGGGGCCATGGGGGGACACCGCCCAGTGATATGGTCATGGTCACCTCAATGTGGCATTTATTGTCCCTATCTGGTCATCTTCAGTAGATGTTTGGGTTTTTACTTTTTATTCACCCCAAACACATGGAATCCCGGAGTTGCCAAGAAAGTCCAGTTGGGTTGCTACGGTTTGAAATGAACAACGACTACCCTAACCCTAACATATAATATTGGACTTTTCCGGAAACTCCCTTGGATTCCCTGTGTTTGGGGTGAATAAAAAATAAAGAACCGATGTCTGAATTCATGTGTTGATTTTTCCATGCTAGTGTTTTCTACATGTGCCTTGTCAAAGGCTGAATGTTTGCAACTGTCATCACGCGTGTGATGAGGTGCTTTGCATGGTCCCTACGATTACATAGTGGCAAGCAGAAAGTCCGTGCAACAAGGGACACCACGAGATAGTTGTGCCTAGTCGAGGAAGCGAGGGAAAGCCCGAGCTAGCCTCGTGGTCAGTCGATCATCAGAAGTCAGAGAAGACGGTTGTAGTAATTGAAGATGTCGTCTTTATGTCGCGAGAATGGTTAATGTTCGAATATGTCGCGAGTGATAGAAGTGTGAATAATGTTTGAACATGTGAAATAAATGGACCAGAATAAACTGACAGAATGTACCAAGAAGCTGAGCGGCGTTTGTGTTGTCAACCCTAGACGTTAAAGCAGTGCAAGTTTTGTAGCAGTAAACATCCAGAGAGTGAGCCGTGGCGAAAGCCAATATGTAGTGAGTCAAGGTGCATGACGAGTAAAGCCGGTGCAAACCAAGGTTCATTCCAAGTGAAGCAACGATTTATTACAACGCGATATGCAAGAAATACCAATTTTGGAATATAACATACAAGTGGTTTTCAGCCTTCCTAATGCCGCGACACTTTAATTCAGTTCCTCAGTGTTGTGGTGACGCTCCCCCCCCCCCCCCCCACCCCCCCCCCACCCCCCCACCACCCCCCCCCCCCACCACCACCATCATACAATGATTTTCGTTGCAACTTCATAACTTCAGTAAATATGTGTTTTCCGATGGTCTTATGCGACCTCTGTGAAAGGGTTGTTAAAGTCCCAAAGGGGTTGCTACCCACAGGCTGAGAACGGCTGCACTATACAAATCTTTTGTGCCTTATTTCAGCCAGTCATTCTAATTTTATCAGTTTTGTGGTTTGGTTGTTGATCTTGTTCCGGACGTTGAAGAACCAGCCACAACATTTGTGTTCTGTTCGGGTTTTTATTCTGCCATCGCTCACTAAACCATCGGTTCTCGATACCACTGACGAAACCAACGCACCAATCCAATGGAACCGGGCACCTCGGTAGCACCAAGCCTGTTCGCAACGCCTGATCCACTATGACGTAGCAAACACTTTGAGGAAGCAAGTCTCCTTACAGATGAGCCATGATCTATAAAACGAATGTACTCGTTAAACTCGAGTTCTGGACCAGGATGAACGTTCAGAAGTGGACGAACAACCGATACTTTCCACAAGAGCTTACAGCTGGTGAATGCAAATAAGAAGAGGTCATACGTGTTAGTCGCAAGTAGGCACGATTTTTGCTTACGAACTCTTGATTGTTCGGTTCCTTTCGGTGTTAATGAGGCTTTTTTGTAGTTTTATTAGCATCGGTAAATTTATCTGCATATCTGTTCACAGAAAACTACTCGTGCGTCTGTCTCCATGGCGATCGCAACCCGGCAGAACGAAAAGCCAACCTGGAGAAGTTCAAGGTAAAAAAAAAAGTTTTGTTTATATGTTAACGGTACTACAATCAACCAAATACGGAAATTCAAATAGCTAGGAAGCATATTGACAGCTTATGGCAGACTCGACAGAGAGATAGAAGCAAGAGTACAGAAGACAAATGCTGTCACCTACCAGTTAGCTTCACGGCTTAGACACCCTCACGTTTTCCTTCCAACAAAACAGCAAATGATTAATAGCATCGTTATCCCTACCTAATGTTGTCATTGCCAAACGTGGACAATGAAAAGGTCAGTGAAACAGAAGATAACAATCTGTGAAATGCGCTGTCTCAGCGATGTCACTAACTAATAACACTACGCGATACAGGGTTACGAATACCAGCATTAGAGAGAATGTAGGAATTAGACCATGTCTGGATTATATTGACAGACCCCAAAAATTTGGTTCGGCCTCTAGTGAGAATGCAGCCAGACCAAACTGCATATGAGTCTTTTTGCAGCAGAACATCTGGGAGGAAGGCGAGAGAAGACCAAGAAAGTGATGGACAAATGGTGTAGCAGAAACCTGCAAAAAGATGAAAAAATCTATCACCCAAGCAAGACAAATACAGAAAACCACGACACAGGGCTATAACCTGGTATCATTGGGACGAAAAAAGAAAGAAGATATATTGTAAAACATGTTAACAAAAATGACTTGAAGAAAACCCACAGAAATCAAAATGTCAAATAACAAACAGTCACCTGGTAATTTAGTGTCAAAGTATCAATGTGGTGGTTGCGACTGTTTTGTCTTGACGATATCCGCTATTGTTGGTCTGATATTGGACGAGGCAAAACTGAGGTCACTCTCCATATCAAGCTAGTGAAAACATAAACGTCTCTGACTTTTTGTTTTGTAAAATATTTTATTTGTAATTAAATTGAAGAAAAAAAAAAACGTGTTCATATAACAGATAATTTCAATTACAAATGTACTCAATTTCAAACATGCTTGACTTCTCCTTGTAACTTCTCCCTGCACCCCCTGGGAGCGACCACTCCGCTGTTTGAAAAACACTGTTCTAGACAATGGTATTGTATTTTTAATGTATTCGATTGTGTGTTGTCTCCACAATAAAGGTTGACTGCTGCATGCCCACGGCTGTCGTTGGGAATATTACGTGGGGAAGAGTTGATCTCTTCCTCGGTGCAACTCTTGTACCATTGCCCAAAAGCCAGCAGAATGGTCCGCGGCGGACATCAACACGAATACGTCAATATGTATAATAAGCAAACGGTTAATGTAATGATTGGTATTCATAGCAAGAAGCAGAAAGACATAATGTCACACTAGACACCATACAAAATGTTTGTGTTGTCTAGTGTGTCCTTCTATCTTTCTATGAGTGCCTGGTACGACAGTGATGTGAAGTGCATTTACTCGCCTTCAAGCCAGAGCCGCACGCACGTCAGCAGCAGCAATGTTGAGTTGAGTCAAGAATCGACATCACGGCACTCGGGGCATTCCCATATGCGCTCCGTCCCCATCTTCAGCAGCTAGCGCAGAGTACCGGTATTAATGGTACCGGTCGTAGTCTTGCTGTATGTCAGTCTTGGCTTTTCTCTGAATGTAGTGAGCCGGCCAGTGTGTGTGTGTGTGTGGGATTGTAAAGGCTAATCGATCTATCGGGTTGTCCCCTCTGAGCTGCTACACAACAGTTTACCGTACCAACCTGAGATTTTTCATTTTAAAAAACTTAATCCGGGTGGCAGATTAACAAGGCAAGTCCCAAATACCCCGTCAACCTTAAAAAAAAAACCGTTGTAATTGTGGCACCTGTAACGGTGACACCAGCTAGGTGTAACCTGCAGACCTAAATGGGTAAAGACTGCATAGTTAAAGGACCCTTTTCCACTCCTTCACTGGCGATTGTCGTGTAGGCGTCAAGTGTCTTTAATGTTGTCGGTCCATGTTTCTCGTGGCCGCCCTCTTGCTCTTGGAGCTCCTGATGGTTTACAGACCCAAATCGCTGAGGCATATACCGGGGTTGACAGATAAGAGTGGCAGAAATTGTACACGTCATAGACCAAAACACGGCAGAGAAAGGGAGCTTTCTTCTTCTTCTTCGCTTTCACCAGCTGTAAACTCCGGTGGAAAGCTCAGGTTGTTTGTCCACTTCTGGACTTTATATTTGTGCCAGAACCTCAGTGTTGCCTGCACATCCGTTTAACAGATCTGACTGAAGTGTATGCAGATCAGTGGTTCCTTGCCTCTCAGGCAGATGCACTCGCAATTAGTCGACTCCTACTTGTTGAGGAAGCCGTGGGATGTCACCCCTTTTACAATAGGGCCCAGGAACCCACACGGGGGAAACAGCAATGTAATATCCACGCAGACCTACAAACACTTGGAGTAAGCAGTTGGAAAGAGAAGGCCTGTCACAGAACGAACGAACTAACTTTATTTT